AGATCTGCTGCTGCAGGGCGGCGCGGCGCGCGGCCTCGCCCGCCGGCACCGCGCAGTACGCCGCCGCCGCCGCCCCGGCGCCCTCCAGGTCTGAGCTGGTGTAGTCGGACGAGTCGTACGAGTCGCTCCACGCGTCCTCGCTGCTCAGGTACTCCACGATCTCCCGCACCTGCGGCGCAGCGCGGCGCGAGTTAGCATCACGCTTCCGTCAAGTCGGGTAACACCAGATTGGTTTCTACTTGCACAGAAATGAAACATTTCCATTTTGTACAATGTCTCCCAGTTTGTTATATTTTATATTGGCATTGTGGTGAGTTTTCGTTGGGATTTGCAACGAAATAATTATATGAGTCGTCATTGCTAACATTATTGTTTATTACAATAGCAGCTCTGGATGGATTAGCCATCATCATCATTTTTATAGTACAAGAAAAAAACAAAAACTTTAAAACATGGATCAGAAAACATGGCTTAACTTACATTTTCATGTTTTCTGTTTCAAATTTTACATTTTAAATTCAATTTGATTCACTTTTCTTGTAGTATTAATTGACTTTACACCCCCTTTTCTTTCTTTCAGTTCTTAAACTGTTAAATATATTTTCTAAAAATTGTAAATAATTAGTAGTATTTTTAATCTAATTTTGTTGTTTTTGATTCACGTTTTAATGTGTTTTTTTGTACTAGAAAACTGATGATGATGGCTAAGCCATCGAAAGCTGCTATTGTAATAAACAATATTGTTGGCAATGACAATTCATATAATTATTTAATTGTTATATATTGACATATAATACTGACATTTCAGCAAATATTAAAGGGAGAACGTAGTAACACATTTTTGTTTTGAAATACGAAAGCCATCATTGCCATTAGACTGCTGTGGGCGGCGTCCCGGCAAAGGCGTGTAGTAGTTCCTGGGGACTATGGTTCGTCACGCTAAAATGCGCCGAGATAGTGAACCCATCATCCATGAATACAAGCCGCTGAGGCGAAACTCTTCACGCATATTACGCACGTGCCATAGTGGGAATAAATTGAAAGAAATAATTGTAATATATTAATTTCTTTGAATGGGGTGATAATGGGCTAGAGTACTTAGCTTCTGAATCTCTGAAACTTGAGAACCCGAAAATCAGCACATATTCGAGGTAAAAATAAGTAGAATAATCAAATGTTTGTTTCAGATGTGGCAAATGTTCAGGTAAATCAAGGCCAGAGTTACGACAAAGAAGGGAGTCGAGCCTACAAAATATAATACAGCATTCTGTCCGATGCCAAAAGTACAAGGGAAGCTTCTGACGATAAAAATTCAAGATTTAAAAAGTCATTAAACAATTTAACAAAAAAACCAACTGTCTTTCCCAACAGTATCTTCTTTTATATCGAATTAGGATTATAATTTGCGATCATGCAGAATAACGGATGAAATAAAACGTACCAAATCATCGACACAAACTATATCGTTAAGAGCGCTGTTTTCAACTCTGCTGCGTTCTACCCCTTAGTGTCTTTTTTACATGATAATTATTCAGAGAAGGTAATCCCTTAAGAAAACTGATTATCATAAATGTTAGGTACTCATTCAATTAAAAAACAAAATCAATATCTCATTTTCATTTTACCACACCCTGAAGAATTTCCCCGAACTCTCTGCAAGGCAATTTCGTCAGAGAGAAACGTTTCCAAACACAGAAACATGTAAGACACGTATTAAATTTTTAACAGTGAATTGAATACTAAACAACGCAAACCAACTTGTTTGGTGTTGCCATAGGATTTTCTTTAGGTACACAATGATAAAACACACTGGGCGTTTGAAATCCAGTTGCAACACCTGACTCGCAATCTGATCTAGATGATAAGCAACCGATTTCACCACAGTGGCCGGGCGGCTCACTGGATAACCACGTTCCTATTGTTTTCTACGTACTTCGTACTGTGAGAGATTGCACAGCACATATTTTCATTTACATTTAAGTTGATTCGTATGGAAAGAACAAGTTGTAGACGAAAAATCTATGCTTGGCATTATTGTTACTTGAGAATGTTTTCTTGAAATGTGAATTGAATATAGGAGAAGGATACATGTGAATACGGGCAGTTTAGAGAATTAAATAATTAAATTCTTGGAAATTATGTTTGTATGATCCTCACTTGAATATCAATACCAATTATCGATAATGCTAACTCCACTCACTCGAAAGTGTCGCGCAAGTACATTCAATATCAAATTTCGTCCAACAATGTACATTAGTGAAGCAACGGCACGCGTGTCACTGCGGCACGTGAACGCACTGAAAGTGTCACGCGACCTTCGAGGAAGTGGCTGCGACCTTTCAGAGCGCACCCATACGGTGCTCCCGCGGCTAATCGGCGACTGTCTTACAGTTACCAAAGGCCGCAGACTGCTACCCGTTTACGTAGCAAAGTGGTCACCAAAATACAATTCACATACGGTACTTGGTTTGCATTATCTCTTGAACAATGGTTTCGTACGGCACTTAAATTCTATAGGAGCTAAAGAAAATGGTGTTATTTTGAATTGAGAAAAACAAATAGGTTGAAATGTTTTTTTTACACAAAACACATGCCTTATCATTATCATGTACCATACAACTTATAATACAGCTCGATAAGAAGATTATTCAAGTGAATAAAACTTAACATCCTTTGAGAGTAGTATAAATTAAGAGCTGCCTTGTTTGTATTGCAACAAATTAAATATTGTTTTTGGAATGGTTTTGACATAGAAGTAACAGAAACATAACAAAAACCATTGCTGAATTTTCAGGAATAGGGAGTAAAATACATTCACAGTGTACGTATCAATACAGTAGCGCAGCTCAGCCCGTTTTTTGGCTGCGTGCGCATACAGCTAGCGATCCTGGTGGAGATCAAGTAAAACTGCAAATATCTGCTACTGACGTATACGGATTTGTTTGTAAAATTGCGTTTATTAAGAAATGGTCAAAAAATTAAAACATCATTCGTGTTGTTTCTTGACGTCGTGGTTTCATGTTCCTAAGATTTCAAGGGCAAGTCATTAAATAACACGTAAAATTGCATAGAACCAAAGTTTTAACCTTACATATGACATGTATAGGAACTTATTTGTTAAGCATCAACTGAATTCTACTTTTCCAGTTAACACATTAATAGGAATGCATGTATCTAAAACGGAGCTCTGTTTTGCAATTAAATGCAGCAATAATAGAGAAAAGAACCCTAAGGGTATGTTTTTTAACATTTTTAAATTTTTAAATTTTAATTTTATCGTATTTGCTTTTCTATTAAAACAACAACAAAAGTGTTTTTCCCTCTTAGGTACCTTTATTTACTACTTAGATTACTTACATTGCATAATATTTTCATGAAAAGTAAATAAATACTTGTTCTTCCTCATGATTCTACTATTCACTTTCAATGGACAACATATTTAAACCATGTCTTTCCCTTAAAAGTATTCAAAACGTCTACTTCATATGTTGTTTTAGTTATATGCACAAGTAAATTGAAATACATAAAATATTTCCTTTTCGGTCATATTTAGCGGAACGAGGCTGAATTAGGAATGTAGTATGGAATGTAATCGGCATAGTGTTCCTGGGTCGCCGCGCGGAACGTTAGAGTCGCTGACCAACACCACGCCACAGCACAACTAACACGGAGCAGCGCTACTGTATAATACGTATGCTGTGGTATATCGGAATGATAGAGGAGCAACATAAAGCTTTGTCTTGACTGCACATTGTACAAAAGTATTTCGAATGTGGTGTAAACAGCTACGCTCAAAATATTTATAAAATTAAACGATAGATGGAAAAAAACAAATGATTACATTATTTAGCTTTTTCAATAAAATTGTGGGCAATTTCTTGTCTCTTCGAACTTTGAATTAATAGTAACATAAAACGTAAAATGTAAAACGTAAAATAAACTTTCTAGACAATTTTAACTTCGCTTGCACTATCAAGTAGGCAATTATTATAGTACGGTGGCTCTCAGAGACGTCACTCACCTGGTCGTCGCGGATGCCGGGCACCGTCTTCATGAGTCGCGTGAGCTCGTTCTCGAAGTAGACGAGCTGCGGAGGCTTGGGCGCCGCGTAGCCGCGCCCGGCGCGCATCCGCGGGCTGGCGTGCGGGGTGCCGCGCGCCGCGGGCCCGGCCTGGGGCCACGCCCGCGCCCGCGCCGCCGCCCGCAGGCCTTCCGCGCGCCGCCGGGCGCCACATCCGTCCTTGAAGAAGGCGCGCATCTGGACATCATGTGGTTGGTCCCTCTCGTCGGAGCTCAGTTGTTGAAGCTGTCCTTGCGCGTGAGGGCGGACGCCGGCGGCGGCCCGCGGGGACTGAACGCCGTCCGCCGGGACGCCGTCGGCGCCGACGTCGCCGCGCGGCGACGCCCGGCGCGCCCGGTCGGACGTTTTGAGCGGCGCGGCGCGCCCGGTTTTCTCGCTGGGCGCTGGCGGCTTCTCCTCCGCGAGGCCTGCTGTGCTGTTGCGGTTGCCTGCTGTCTGTTGTTTGCTGCTGGCTGCTGCTGGAGCTTCTGCTGTTGCTGCAGCAGCTTCGCCTGCCTCGCTGACGATGTTGTTTCGTGGCTGTTGCTGCAGCTGCTCGAGTCGCTGGCGCTGCGCTGCTCCTTGAGCAGGTCGTCGCAGCTGCGCGAAGCGTGTCGCGCTCTGCTGCTTGTGGCGGTCGCGACAGCAGCAGGAACTCGGGCTGGGCGTCTTGGGAGCCGTCCTCTTCCCGTCGGACGCCGCGAACTGGTCGTCCGTGGCGGCGAATTTCGTCGACCGGGGTGGAGTCGTGGGGGGGTGTCGGCGGCGGTGCGCGCACCTTCTTCTCCGGTTGTCGGAGAAGACGGGCGACGTGCAGAGATGCTTGCGCTTCTTGCTTCTTGGCGCTTGACGGGGTGTCGGACTGGGGCGGTCGGAGGCGGAGCGGCGGCGGGCGGGCCGAGGTGGGGCCGGACGCCAGGTCCTCCAGGGTGTCGGTGCCGGAGGTGGAGGCGTCCGACCTCGGCGGCGGCGGCGGAGCGGCTGCTTGGTCGGCGGCGGAGGGCTGCCGCCGCGCGCCGTCGCCCCGCCGCGTCGCCCGCGTCGAGCGGCGCCAGCCCTGCTCCACGCGACGCGTTGTGCGAGCGGGCGGTGCCCGCGCGCGGACCAGCGCTTGCGCGCTGCTCGGGGCTGGGCCGGCTTCGTGTCGTGCCCCACTGCCTGCCCGCTTGCCGTTCCGAGTCGCGCCCGTCCGCCTAGGACACGGCATGAGAGCACGCGCTGCGGGCGGGTAAGCTTGCAGGCGAGCTCGGCTTCCTGCTCCTCGGCGAAACAAGGCAAGGGCTTGGGAGTAGCAAGTCGTTGCGGAGGTAGATTAGGTGAGGCGGAGCGAGAAGGGACGTGTTCTAAATGGGGTGAAGAGGGAGCAGGTGGGGCGACGGAGGGTTGGGGAAGGGTATCGCGGGGGAGCGGGGTTATTTGGGGGGCGAGGCGCGAACAGCAGGGAGAGGTGGTGGAGAGAGGTGGTGGAGCGTAGGCCTGGAAGGGGGCGTGGCTGGAAGGGGGGCGTGGTTGGAAGGTGCGTGGTTGGAAGGGGGCGGGTTTGGGCCTTGGAATGGGCGGGGATGAAAGGGGAGCAGATGAGGGGCGAGGAGGAGCGAGGGCGGTGGGAGGCGGTGCGAGATGTGGGACTTGGCGTAGCGGTGTAAGGCAAGACAGAGAGAAGCGGAGACGGAAAATGTTGGTTGTAGAGGGGGAGGGTCGGAGAGAGTTTGGGGAAGATCAGCGGGGGAAGAGTGGGGGCGAAGATGGGCGGTGGGCGAACAGGGTGGAGATGGGGAGAGGAGCTGAGAAGTGCGGGAGAGCGCCTAGCGTGGCGTGCTCACCTCAACGCCTGGCTGCCATCGCCCAGGCAGCTTAATTTGAAGTTTTGCCGTTCGCCACCGGAGCGCTACAAGTTTTTCCATATACGCGTGTTTCACATTAACACTATGTGATATTACTAGAGACGAAATTAATGAATAAACCCAGTGTGTCCCATTAATGGCTAAGGCCTCCTAGAAAGGGAGATCTCGTTTTTGATTTCCATCTGGTGAGCTAACCTCCTACAGAAAAGGGCAGGACATAAAGACATAAAGTCTCCACTTTCGCCTACGCTCAGCAACTGAGTATGGCAATCATCATCGTGGTGAGCTCTGTACTTTTCACTTCAGTAATTCCTCACTTAATTTACATTACTAAATAAAACGCCCTCACAGTATTAAACTAAAGTAATTGAGACTGTTAAATATTTCATGGGTTGTTAACATATCATTTACATTTTCTAGCAAAGATCTTGGATTCGACATCTAAACTCAAGTTCCATGCAGGTGTAGATATTCTTTTAGTTATTATAGCTTTTTAGTTTTGCAAACTAATGTACTGAATACGTAATATACAAGACCTGAGCGTATTAAATTCGACCCTGATTTTAATGAGCATGTAAATTCACAGATGCAATGAAAATCTGTGCAAATTTGCATTATATTTTCCATTCTTATTTCTTTTGTAATACGACGGAACGGTTAAACAACAAACATCTATGTCATTTCAAAACGGAAGGGCTCTCTATCAATAAATTCTTCACACAAAATTTGCGAACTAAAAAAGGGATAGTTAAATTTCTGCCGAGGAATTTAGAGTGCAAGGCCGCCCACAGCGTGCGTCAGATCCGTATTTTGAGTCACGACCTCGTTGACAGGAATGCCTCAAGGGCGTGCAACTGCAATCCTCGATCGAAGCAAACGCGTTCCATGAAGTCCAAGTGCGTCTCGCAAGTGACATTCCACCTGGGAACATTTATAGTCTGTGTACCGATGCTTATTCTAGAATACATTAGGGTGGAAGATATTTTAAGCGAAATGACAAGCACTGACGTACCGGATTCTCATCTCGAATCTGACGGGGAACAGAAAGAGTTTTGGAGTATTACGTAAGCAATTGGAAGGTAAGAGGTCTGGCAACTACACCTCGGGTCCGCAGGTTATCGGAGGGATATCTTTTGTTATATCCTCACCTGAGGACCTAGCATTCTCGGCCATGACCGAGATGGTCTTGATGGGTGACGTAGTGGAAAGAGAGGCACGGGAAACGGGAGGACCCAGACAAATTCCATACAGATCGACTAGAATTTAATGTCCTGTAATGAGTGATTGAAGACGAAGAGTCTGACCACTACAGCTCGGGTTGCTGTGTCGTAGAAGTTATCGAGTTTCCATTAGTCAACGTGTAAAAGTGAATGCTCTTTGCTAGGAATCTGACGCAAATACACCAAACGACCGCACATTCTGTGCACATTTTATGTGTTCAAGTCTTGGGTAAGACCTGCATGTTTCCACCATGTGATGGCAGCATATTGACAAAGGTAAGTATTCCAAACTCGCTCAAATAACTTGTTACCCGGGTAGACATTAATTACATCCACATTTTAAGCATTCCCGCCAAGGATTGCTAAGCAGGCTATCAGTTTCCTGTTCATGGTGACCCATTCGGAACATGTAATAATATGTTTTATCAATAGTAATCACGATTCACACCTTTCAGAATCAGGCGCCAAATCAGAAGAGACAGAAGAGTCAAGTGAAGGGAGGTTAAGAGACGATGGACTTTGATCTTCTTTTAGCTGTTTCGGAGAATGTAGGCGGGAGCTATACAGGTCAATCTGTAGAAGTATCAAGCAATGAATGAAAGGTAATATTTTTTCTGTTTCAAGGGGTGTTTGTCGTATCAACTTGAAAAAATGTCGACGATTTTTAACTTTGAATATTAACTAAAATGTATTGGTGCTTTCTCATATTAATTTTTTAAAACTTTTTTGTTATTTAAGGTCGCATCAACATCTTAGATGTTAGCGACCACTATTGCATTTAATGGTATGATAACTGTGAAGATGACATGATATGGTGATGATAGGGGGTGAATGGACGAACACAAACACAACCATTCCCGTGGCGGGACTCGAACCCGCGATCCTTCGGCTCGAGATCGCTTTGCCACTACTGCCATAACGATCTCGTCTATCCGGACCGGCATATTAAGTTTTCTTTTAAAGCAATTTTTAGCCGTTGGATGGGGTATGGGTAACTGATACGATTTGATACTAGATTTTCGTTGGTAAACATCTACACGTTTTTAAATGGGACATTTACTTTGGCTATGTAACTTCTATGGCAGGTTACAACATAACATTAACGAGGCTCATGATTTCGGTCTCTACAAAATTAGCATTCATGAATTTCGGAATGAATTTAACTTTGATAATGCCTAATAGGATACATAATTAGTTTGAGAGCATTATTCTGTTGAGAACAAGTTTCGTGTTATTTATATTTCCGCATTAGTAATAGATCGAATTACATAACATCGCATATTATAATAATTACAATTCTAATCATGACAATCCATTGATTCCAATAAAAAATAATAATAGACCAGATTCTCATTCATAATGCATTTGCCCCCAATGTAATAGGTCAATTGGTTCCTCATTTCAGAGATTTGTTGAATTGAGATGACATGTGCACATTCTTCTCCACACAATCTTTAGAGAATAAAACAATAATTTTCGTTTGGAGAAATGAATTTCTCGACTTTTTGCGACAAGTTCTTAATAAAATGACCATTCATTTGAATAAGAATATATTATTGGTTTAGGAAACGAGCAAAGTTTTTTATTACAGGAAAGAAAACACATTTTTAAAGTGCACACATGGAACTGTAGAAATTCTGTGTATTTACTGAACTCTCAAAACAGAAGTCAACTCGAATTTCAATAGTTCCCAAAGTGTGAAAAACACAATATTATCATATCACGTTAACGAAGCCAGGCTGTGGATAGAAATTTGCTGGGCTACCATCAGGTTATATAGTTAATAAATATAAGCCAGAGGTATCGATTATCAAGCTTCAAGATAACGTCACACACTTTACTTTCTTGATGAAAATATAATCTAGATTATTTGATGAGCTCATGAACAGGGTGTCGTGCGTGTCATTTTGGCAACACAGAATATTTTATCCGTAAATACACAAGTAACATGAAACACAACACATGATGATGATTATTATTATTAAGACATAAATAAGAATTAGCGAATAACATTATTTGAACATGGGAAACCTTTGCTAGACAGTTATAAACATGTTAATTTTTCAGTGAATTTTGGACTGTTTTCCAATTGCGAATTGCAAAGCCTCTGAGAAATAGAAACGATAATTATACCAATGTATTTATTGAATAACTTGCAGAACCAACCTTTTTAAAAGGAGTACTACAATTGACTACACCAGAATTATAAATGGCATGCAACACACAGATAAAACCGGAAGTTCATTCACGTTTTAAAAAGAGGTAAAATTAATCGACTTCACTCACTCATGTTGGACAGTCACACACGCAGAAGACAAATAGAATGCTAAAACTGTTCAAATAATATTTCACATAGTTTACAAAATCAAATATATGAAAAAAACGAAAAAGTAAAATATGACAGGATTCTACGAAACTAGCAGTAGTCACCATCAATATTAATAGCAGGGCGCTGACACTTTACAAAAGTAACTTCTTTAGACGATTGCCTTCTCCACATGTATGCTGTACTCCATTTACCAGATCACTCAATACACTGTATTCGTTCCCTGCCGCTAATTTCCTTCCAGGAGTGCCTCTGAAGCTCGTATGTTTCCCTCCAAATACGTCATAACAAACATATCGCAATGCGTATCAGAGGGGCGTGGAAATATACGTAGGTTACGTATTCCTAATCTGATACGCAGTGCTACCACAGTAGAATTTTCCTCCGTTGCCTTCTGCCCAGCGAGTGCCCCGCAGCGCGACACCGCTGAACTTATCGCCACCAGAGCCTGCTTTATCAGGAATACTCAACGAGGCCACCCACTGGTCGAGTTGGCAGCCAGTGCTGTCCGCGCGCCCGCCCGCTCGCCCGCCCGCCC